TTGTGACCTAGTTTGCCACTATGTTCACACTTAGGATGCCCTTTTCCCTGTTTGTGAGGGCGAGTCCAGTCATCATAGTGAGATGCCAACACAGAAGAATCATTAACAGAATTGAAAGTAGTAGAAGGAGTGGAAGAAGTCATGAAGGGTAGGAGAACAAAACCTAAAAAAAATCCAAAGTAATCCAATCAACCCACGAAGCACAAATCCAAAACGAGAAGACCAAAACAAGTTCGTCGAGACTAAACGACGTAGGAGACAATAGACGACCAACTCCGATAGTGGTGATCTCAACGACACGGTGATCACCTTACTGAAACGAACAAAATCGTATGTCACTAGTCAAAAGTGAAACTCTAACGACGGCTCCGGCGACTGCTCCGGCGACGGCAACAGTGGCAGCAGCGTGAACCAGTACATCAGGTAAGTTCCCAGGAAAGAGAGGTGGGTCACTAATGAACACGCTTAAATACCAAGTCTTTCCTTGTCAGAACCTTCCTAGACATGCACTTTCACACTACCAAATAATATCCAGTAACAAAGATAACTCTTTTCTGATGTGGAAGATTAGTTTAACTGGCAGCAGCGGCGATGGCGACTTTAGCAGTGGATAATGGCGAAAAAATTTCAAAATAACCTTAAGCTCTGATACCATGTTGAATATAGAGGAAATACGATTTGAGATAATCTCCCTTGTGTATAAACCACACATAAGGTAATCTATTTATAATAGAGAGAGGTACAACTAAAAGAGTAACCGAAAGTAAACAAAATAAACATAAGATATTGTTTGATATTGTGGTTAACAATATCTAACAATATCTTAACAATATCTAAATAATATCTAACAGGTCCCATAATTAGACTATTACCACGTTGTTGATGAAATGTCTCAATTTGAACCATAACATATTTCACTGAAAATGGCCCTCTGGCATGAATCATAATGCATGACCATAACCCAAAGTTTCATTCATGATGGCACAGTATATTCAATCAACCATTACTCTTGGGCATAACTTATCACTTGTTGGCCATGTGACACGATCTTGTGACCGATTATGATTGGGAACTAACACTCCAACATTACTTATCTTTGATTATCATGATTGTTTACAGATGGGTCCAAGAAGAGAGTCACACGGTGCTTCATCCTCCCAGGCTACTGAGAAAAAGCCAAGGACTAAGTCTGAAGAAACTTATGTAGATAGAAGCCGATTTCGGGATGCTGAAAGAGAAGGAATATTTGAAAAAAATCAGCCAATGGTCTTTTATTGTTAAAAGGCGAGTGGAGCTCAATGATGGCAAATTTCCAGAGTTTAATGATGAGATTACTCACCGCAATTGGAGGCAGTTAGTGCTCCCAATGCCAAAATATGACCCAGACATGTTTAAGGAGTTTTATGCTAATGTCTGGCCAGTGGCAGGAGAGCCATTTCGTTCTCGTTCCAAAGTGAGGGGTTGTTGGATTCCCTATGATTGAGATTTGATCAACAATCTTCTAGGCAACCCTCTTCACTTGGAACCGGGTCAAATCTGCACTTATCAAACTATCCAGAACAGCCGACGTCTATCCTTAGCCAGGTTTAGCGAGGATGATACAGTCAACGTCCTATGCATACTAGAGCGATCTTATGAAGCTAATCATGTCGGTAAGGCATTGCGAATACTTCGGGTCAACATGTCGAACCTGACTCAGATCTGGACTTAATTCTTGTTGGCTAATATCGTTTCGATCAAGCATAGCTCTGACCTCAACATGCCACGCTGTCATATCATCAAATGCATCCTTAAAGGGATCCAAATAGATGTCGCCGCACTTATCTCTGAAGAAATATATCAATTTGCAGTGTTAAAAAGTGGGCGACGCACAAATCAAGCCAAGGCTCTAGGGTTTCCTTCCTTCATCATAGCCTTGTGTGCGGAAAATGGTGTGGAGGTAAACATGTCAGTAAAGATCCGACCACCTATAAACAGGAGGTTCACAGAGCAGAATTATGTTGGTATTTTTCGATCGAGGTGAAAGTGAGATTGACTCTCGCTTGAGTGAAAATATGTTAAAGCTCACGGAAATTCACTCGCTCAAGCCTTGCTTGAGCGAAAATTGGTATTTTTCGCTTGAGAGCGAATGACGCGTTTCCAAATTTTATTTTATATCATTATATAAATAAAATTATAAAGATTATATTCTGTTATTTTACAAACTCATATAAAGATACCTGCTCACAAATTTAGCATCAAATTTTGAAAATCCACTCGACACATACTTTCATCTTCGAGCGTGCTCTCACATCCAACATATAAATATATAAATATATAAATATATAACTATATAACTATATAAATATATCAAAATATATATCAAAATATATAAATATATTTGTATTTATATATTTACACGGATATATATTTATTTGTATATAAATATAATTTATTTGTAAGTTATTATTAAAAAATTCTAGTAATTTAGTGGTTGGAGTATCAACCTCCAACTCTAAGATCTTGGGTTTGAATCCTATTTTTATTAGTAATAGTGCATAAGTGTAGTGTGATTTAACACGAATATTTATCATAATTCTATTTTGGTGTCGTTGTCCATGCTTTATATAAGACATTTTCGTTTATTATTATTAATAATAAAATGCTACCCTTTCTTTACTCTAACATGGTTTGATCAGTAGGTCCTCGTACGTGTCTAACAACATTGGCCCCGTGTTCCATCAGCCTTCAATTGTTTTATAGGGCTCAAGTCGCTTGATTTTTATTTCAGATGAATTAAGCATTTTACTAGAAGGCAATAAACACTCAAAATTGGCAATTAACTGAAGAAATATTATTTATTTATTTATTTGTTTATGAAACTATTCATAGTATACTCTCTAAATTTTGTTTTGTTTATGACTATACTCCAAACTTGAAAAAGGTGTGTTTTTTGTTCAAAGAACACAAGTTTGATGGATCTTGAAAGGATAGAAAGACGGCCCAAACGCACCTATACTTTGGGCCAATCAGCTACTTCGGCTTCCCCTATTCTAAATTGAAAACTTGGCTACCCTTATTTCCACCCAAATTTTCTCTATTTTCACCCCCCATATTTTGTTTTCAATCTTATTTTTCAAAAAAACCTTGATAGAAATGTTGTTCTGTTATGTTAGGCGATGAATATGCATACAGAATGAAAACACATGTTCGTTATGTATTAACATATTTTTTTGCAAATACATATTTAAAGTGGCAAGAGGGAAAGAGAAAATACAAGTGAGAAATAAGATGTGAATTTGTTATAGTTATTTTTCCGTAAAAGTAAGATGGTAAAAAGAGGGAATAAGAGGTAGCAACCTCTTCATATGGCCAAAAGAATCACAGGATGAAACATCCCAAATTAGTGATCCTGATAATTTAAAAAAATTATAATCTAATAAATCACTTAAAATATGCTTCTAAAAAACTATTTTATTTTTATATTGAAGTCATATTTTTAACACATTTTTTTTAATTAATATAGAAGTTATGATTAAAAATACAGTTTAAAATTTTCTTAAACAATATTGTGTAAAACACATAACAAAATTATGATAATTAAGTAATGAGTTTAGGGTTTAGATTATATTATCTAAAATTCTTCATTACATTTTAATTAAACTAAGTAATTTAAAAAAATTAAACTATATTATTATCTAGATGAATATATTATATTCTTAAGAGATTATTATAAACAAAAATAAGTATATTCCATAAAGCTACAATAATATATATTTTTATAGTTGATTCCACTAAGAGTAAGGTCAAATATAATTATATATATTATTTTCTCTTAAATCATTCTATATTTTTAAAAATAAAAATATAACTACTAAAACTCCCAATTAAAAGTTAATATTTTAGAAATATTAGTGTCATGATAATATCATTATATATAAATTAAAGATCAAATATTAATTTTATTTTTAAAAATCGTGTCAGTAAATTAAAAATAAAATTATATGTAAATTACCTTTTATCCTATTTTGTAAACTACGTACACAAAAACATATAACCCTTTTCTTATTTGTCACTAATTTTTTATTAATTTATTTGACCTTTGGTTGTACTTTTTTAGAACCTGTTACAACTGAAAGTTGAGCTTCATTTTGCAATTGTGCCCTGACACAACTATGCCTGTGAAGACAATGGGTTCTTCTATTCCAAAGTTCTACCACATTGCACTGTTCTTGGTTTAGCATATACCCATTCTCCTTTTCTGTGCATGTTCTTAAAGAATACATCCTCCTTTCTCCTTCTACGCACAGTTTCCGAATTTTACAGAGTTTCAACCCTAATCAGCCAAATTTTCAGAATCCGGTGCAACCAGCAGACTGTGGTTTAGTGTGAAGAAGATAAAGTTTAGATTTTCCATTATTCTCTTAGAGCGATTGAAAGTTGTAACTCAAAAATTACGTTGCTGTACTCGTTGAGTGTCTTATAAACGGATTCTATCCCAATTTAGGGAAATTAATTATCTACTTGTGTCAATTATGCAAGAAATAATAGTTCAGGTGTGAAAGATTTTCTCAAAAGATTTCTATCATTTTATGTTTTGGGTGTCGTATTGACTACACATGTGGCAGCCATATATTGAGAGAACAGTTAAAGTAAGTAAACTTATCAAAGCACTTTACTTAGTTGTATAGTTTATTCACTTTCTAAAGAACTTGTTATTGTAACTTGTAAGAATAAGTATTGGAGCTGAACTCCTTGTTACCTTATACAAAGTACAACAGAATCTTACGGATACCTTACATACATACAATTTCTACCCAGCTAATTGGCACCAATCAGTAAATATCACATTGTAACTTACTTTTTGGACAAAAGAAAAAACGGAAGAAAGAATTACAAAACGCATTAACGAAATGGAAAAATAGCATTCATTCATAAACCAGGACTTGTTAATTAGTCCAAAGGACATGACACCCACTGTACTTAATGGTCCATGGACAGAATGAAGGACATATCAGAACTCATCTTCCGCGAGGATTAACCAATTGTGAAAACACTGCACTTGTAGCAGCATCTTCTGCATCATCATCTGTGAAAGAGTTGCCCCCACCAATCATACTAACACTGTTATCAAAAGGCTCAAGGGGAGTCAACTGAATTCCAGTAATATGGTTTGTGCTGTTATCTTCAGGCTCCATGAGTGCTGATGAGGTCTCTTGAAGCTGCAAAGCATATTCAAGATTCCACAAGACATCGCCCATAGAAGGCCTATCCACTCCATACTCGGCCAAGCACTTCTCAGCTGTTTCCCCAAACTTCTTAAGAGAAGCAGGATTGACTTTCCCCACCAGATTCTGATCCATGATTTGATCAAGCATTCCTTTCTTCTGCCAGCTCATTGCCCACTCAGCTATGTTAACCTGCTCCCTTGGAAGGACAGGGTTCAAGGCAGGTCTTGTGCATAACACTTCCATCAAAACTACTCCAAATGAATATACATCTGATTTCTCTGTAAGTTGTTGCCTTCTGAAGTATTCAGGATCCAGATAACCGAAACTACCTTTAACAGCAGTGCTCACATGAGTCTGATCAAGAGCAGGACCAGTTTTGGAGAGGCCAAAGTCAGCAACCTTAGCAACAAAGTTATCATCTAAAAGGATGTTAGTTGTCTTTACATCGCGATGAATTATGCTTTGAGATGCTCCAGTGTGGAGATAATGAAGACCTCTTGATGCTCCAATGCAAATTTCAAGCCGTTGTTTCCATGATAGAGGTGGTAGGTCAGTTCCATACAAATGACTCCTGAGAGGTCCATTAGCCATGTATTCGTACACAAGAACCATTTCAGATCTCTCATCACAATAGCCAATAAGGGACACAAGATGACGATGGCGTAACTTGGATAACATCTCAATTTCTGTTCGGAATTCGGCAAGACCTTGCTCGGATCTGGGGTTTCCCCTTTTAACAGCTACATTGGTCCCATCTTCAAGTGTTCCTTTATAAACCCTGCCAAAGCCACCAACACCAAGAAGCAGCTTCTCATCAAACTTGTTGGTTGCATCTAGGATCTCTTGGAAAGTGAAGAACCGTCCGAGATTTGATGAAGCTAAAGAAATGCAGCTTGCAGTTGCACTCTTCTGAGAAGTTGTTGACATTTTTGTCATGGTCTGAGAGTTTCCATATAAGGGTAAAGGCAGCCAAGAATGACCCTGCTGAGTAGACTTCGATTTGTATCTCACCAAGCAACAATAACACAAACCAACCAAAGCTATGGCAGCCACAACTCCAATAGAAGAACCAACTATTATTCCCATCTTGCTTTTACTTGATGACGAACTAGGAAGGAGACTCTCAACCGAAGAAAGTCCATCCAAGCTCTTGAATGCATTGCTGATCTTTATAACCTCCAGTCCATTCATAGTGGCATTTGTGATACCTGCCATTGTATCAGGACCTACACTTACTGTCAAAATGTTGGAGTCTGCTGAGGCATTGGAAATAAAGTCTTTATAGTAAGGCACAGACAAATCATTAGTTATGGATGAGAGGTCAAGGCTTCCAAGAGCTATGTCAGTATTTATGAACAAATTGAAAACTAAAGTGTTGAGAGACTTGCTAATAATATCACAAAAGTGCACGCGGATAAAATAGGAGAAGTTTGGATCCACAGTAAAGACCCAAGTAATGTTGAAATTTGAATTGGCTACATTTGCATCCCCCATTGCTTCAGAAGTGGCATAGACCCAATTCGGTGCCGTCTCAGGTGTAACACCGGGATGATACTTAATGCTGGAAGGGTTAACAGACACATTGGTGACTGAACTATTCACATGGAGGTATTTCTTATCATTCTCCCAAGTCCTTCCCAGGGTGTCATTCTGGGGCGTGAGCAAGGGACCTCCTACGTTTAAGCGATAAACAGTCTCAAAAGCTAGTTCAGAAAGGCCATTGAATGGTGCAGTTGGGTTAAGAGCCAATGCCTGATCAACAAACAAGTCATTTGGCATTGAAACAACTTCAATTGCATTGACAAAAGCTACTGAACCATTAGAAGGAATGAAGGTGACAGTTAAGGTCTCAGAGGTTACATTGATGGCATACTCCCTAAACATATATGAACCATTGTAATTCCTAAAGGAGAAGTTGTATAAGAGAACAAAATCATCAGTGACCACTGATATAACAGCAGCAGTCAAATTATAGGCTGAGTTGGGAAGAGGAGAAAAATATAGCCTGAGCCAGTGCCTACCTTCCTCAACCGTAAAACTATAAGAAGCTTTCTCAGTGAAAATCCTAGCTGATTGGTATATTGGGAAAGGGACACTAGAATTTGAACTAGCAATAGCAGAATTCGATGTTTTCAACTCCGGTGAAGAATGCTGTGAATCAGGAACGAAAGTGCGATCTTGGAAAGTGATGCTTTGGGAGGAACCACAAGTAATTAGATAATTATCACGAGGAGTGAATGTAGCAAATGAACCATTCACCAAAAACAAATAAACAACAAGAACAAAGGAAACCCACTTTACAAGTTTCATCATCACCATTGTATTTCCCCAAGTCTTCGTCAATCCATAAAACAATTGTAAGCACACCCTTTAAACCTTTAAGCCTTTTAACCTTAACTTTCTCTCCCAAGCCACAACCTGCAACAACCTCGGATCTATCAAACTCAGAACACAGAACCAGACATTTCCATTGCAAGCAACAGACAAAATACCATGATTCTAATCATAACATCACAACTCATGAGTCATGACACAACACAACACAAACTCAGAACAAGGGTCTTAACAGGGAATTACGTTGTGTACTTACCTTTTTGGTCGTGAACAAACCGGCTGCTGCCAAAGTGATTAACAGGGCTCAAAGTCTGAAACAATGAGACCCAATTTAGATTACGTGAACCCCATTACTGAAATCCCATCAAGTTTAGCTTTTTAGTGTGGCCGCAACGCAAAACACCTTTTCCAGGCTGTTGATTAGGCTGTCAATTACAGTGGAAAAAGTGGACCCCACAAAGAGAAAATAAGAATAAAAATTAAAAATTATTATCTAAACTTCAAACTTGCAAGTTGAAACTCCATAGAACCAGCTGTTACTCGGAGATTCTGTGGTGTTGTGCATTTTTCAAAATTCAGAATCTTGGCAACCAAAGGAGTAAGTAACTGTGAATAAAATAAAATAAATAAATAACCGAATGGAAGTTTAGGAATTGAGGCTTACAACTACTAAATAGAAGTTCTATTGTATATAATATTATATGAATCATATCACAATATATTAATAATTTTGATTTGAAGTCTAAAGGGAAGAAGAAGAACAGGAGAACATGGCTGGGAAGAAAATGGTTGTTGCGCTGGGTTCAACGATAAATGGGACCCGCACCCGCTTTAACGCGGCTTCAAGACACAGAAGGGTCAGAGGTTGATAAAATAACAACACAACAATTATGAAACTCTTAACCCAGTTAAGTTAGCTTTCTACCATGGCTAAAAGGTTTCCCTAGAGTAAATTATTATTCTACGATTTTGTTTTTCACTATACATTTCTTGTCCTTTATTTTTATTTTGAAAATTTGAGAATATCTCTGTCAACAAAATTTGTCTTGTTCTACTCTTTGTCTCAGGTTAGAAACCCTCTGGTTAAATCTTTCTTATCTTAAAAGAAATTGTAAAATAGGGATATATTCTATCATATATTTTTTTAAAATTTATTATTGATTTTATTTCATTAGAATTTTTTTTAATAAATTTTAAAAAATTCATTTATACTTTTATTTTCTTTTTTATATATTTTTATTTACTTTTTTTTAGAAATTATTTGATGAAATAATTAAAAAATAATAATTTATTCTGTCACATAAAATTCTTTAAATGAAAAATTACTTCTAACAATTTATATTTTATTTAAGTAATTCTATTAGAGATGCTCTAATGGCAATGTTAGCAATCCTAAAACTTGATTTTTTTTTTCAAAAAGTTAAAAACTCTTCTTTTACGGGTCGTTTTTTAAAATGTATGGAAGAGGATAAATAATGATAAGTTACACGATTTTGTAATAAAGAAATCAAGCAAGATAAGAGAAAAATAGGCATGTCTTTTTATATAAAATTTATTTTTTTTAATTTAAATTTGTGCAAGGTGGCACGATTATAATATTGAAGTTATGCAAAATAGTGCCATATTAGTGCAAAAATGGTATCACTAGTAATTGCATTTTTTAGATCAAATTGTGTTACGGAGCACAGTTTTAATTAAATAAAAATATAACTAAAGTTGTGTTAAGCCTTTTTTTTTTACCAAGATTTACAATTGAATTTTTTAACATAAATATATTATTAAAAAATGAATAATTTATTTATTTTCAGTTATATATATATATATATATATATATAAAAGTCATAAAATATTATATTGATTATTTTTTATATAAATTTTGCATAAGTAATATATAAATAATAATGTCATTAGGGATTGAAATTTTTAAGTTTAGATTGTGTTATATTATTTATTTTCAGTAAGATATTATTAATAAATAATAAATAAATATAAAAGGGTAAAAGAAGATGAAAGACTGAGAAGATAAAATTATAAATATATAAGTAAATATATTAAATTATTATTATTAAGTTTGGAGGAGCCAAAATCATAAATTATATAGGAATTAGAAGAGAGTGAGAGGATAAAATTGTAAATATATAAGTACATATATTAAATGATCATTAAGTTTTGGGGGAGCAAAATCTTGAATTATATGAGAGTTATAAAACTGTGGACTACCCGTCAATTTCTAAGAAGGTTCGCTACTTGTTTATTTTAAAGAAAAAATAAATATATTTTAAAAAAAGTATACATAAAATTAATTTAAATATTAATTTTATATTAAATATAATAAAAATAAAATATCAAAATTTGTCTAGGTGTAAATGACAGGACGAATAAACAACAATAATACAACAATAAAAAAGTGAAAGAGCTTATAATTTCTCACTATCACATCACCATTTATTTAATCTACCTGTGTTACTTATAAATCTTCGACGATGTTTGAGATTTGATTAGTCTTATATATCAAACTAAGAATCTTTTAGACTGTATATTTGAACATGACATCGAGCATGTTGTTTATTTTTTCTAAGTAATGTAGTAATAATATCTTTTGAATACTTGTGTCATGCTCACAACGATTGTAAAATAGACACCACTTCACACTCTTTCAGACACATCTCTCTCATATTCTCTTTTCTATTTTCTTCATGTTCTACTATTATCTTAGGTTTATTTACTCCTATAAGAGTTTCTTGCTAGTTTCTGAGATCCTTAGAAATTTCGAGAAGTTCATATTGTATCCTGGGGGACTTGCACAATACACCACGAATAAGTCCTTAAGGCAATGCCTCATAAATTGTTTGTGTCTCTGTTAGTTTTTACAACAATATTAAGGATTTATTGCTGACAGTACGAATATCAACAACTTTATACCCTTCAACAGTTTTTACAATAATGGATGGTGAAAGAAAGGAAACGTGCAAACAAACACTGATAGGCAAAGAGGTTAAAAGAACATATTCTCATGGATCAAGGTTAGTCTTCTTATTATGATATGATTCATGTATGTTATTATGTGATAATCAAGAATCTAAAGATTCTGAAGAGTAATTTTCTAGAATGAATTAGTAACATAAGAAAACTTCAAATTAACTTACATGTAGTATCAGAGTCATAGTTATTCAATTTATGATTTTCCTTGTATGATAGTTTTCCCAAATTAAGATAAACCTTAATTATGAATTTAAGGATTTCTCTATCAGATTATAATGAACCCTAATTATTTCCCAAATTTATTTTCCCAAAATTGAATAAAGAAATAAATCTTAATCTATGTTTCATAATAGCCCCTATGTGAATGACCCTATAATTCTTATTGACATGTGAAAGATCCCGTAATTGATTTTAATTGAAAAAGAAAATTACGTAATTGGATTAAGGGTGAATCATGTATGAAATTGGTTTTACTACATGTTATAATTATGATGGAAGAAAGGTAAACTTTTAGATCAAGTGCTATCACCATGCATAATGCACCACGTGCACAGAGCACACGTTAACACATGTTCTTTTTTCGATTTATTACACCAATGCAACAAATTATGCATGATTATTATATATTGTGGGAGATTTTTTTGTAGTGAACAATTAGCATTTACGTGTGCATGACTTAAATCTACATATTATTTTGTACATATGGGTAAGATATTATTTTTTCCACATATTATTTTGTCTCATATTATATTGTACATACGTGTAAGAAAGGGTTTGAGGCTGTATGAAACCAATGGATCTAACCACACTTTACCTTCAATAAGGAGGAAATTGTTTTGTTTGTGAAAAACCAAATCATCATGCACCTCAACGCAGACATAGAATAAGAAACGACAGGTTCTAAACACAAGTTCCTTTTTCCAATTTATTACACCAATGCAACAGGGAAAATGAATTATGCATGGTCATTATACATTGTGGGAGATTTTTGTTGTAGTGAACAATTAACATTTACGTGTGCATGACTTAGATCTACATATCATTTTGTACATATGTGTAAGATATTATTCTGTCCACATATTATTTTGCCACATATTATTTTGTACAAACGTGTAAGAAAGGGTTTGAGGCTGTATGAAACCAATGGATCTAACCACACCTTACCTTGAAATTGTTTTGTCTGTGGAAAACCAAGTCATCATGCACCTCAGTGCAATCATAGAATAAGAAACGACAATCCTCCTAAGGAAAATTTAGTCAAAGAGAAGATACAATTGTTGCGATCGTTTCCCAAATAAATTTTGTGACAAATGTGAGTAAATGGGTGGTAGAGTCTGGTGCTACCAGACACATTTGTGCAAACAGAAGTGCTTTTATCTCCTACACTAGTGTGGAGGATGGAGAAGAACATGTTTATCTCGGTGATTATAGGACAACTCTTGTTTTAGAAAAGGAAAAGTTCTTCTAAACCTCACATCTGGAAAGACTTTGGTCTTGAGTGATGTGCTACATGTGCCATTAATCAGAGTTAATCTAATCTCTCTAACACTATTGGTAAAAGTTGAGGTTCAAGTGTTATTCGAATATGATAAGATTGTTATGACAAAAAATAATGTATTTGTAAGGAAGGGATATTGTGATCAAGGTCTTTTTGTATTTAACATCTCTGAATTTGTTACTCTCGAAATGGCTGGTAGTGAAGTTGAGTGGTTGAAAAAATTCTTAGCAAACATTCCATTAGGAATGAAACTGATCCCGTCTGTATCAATTCACTGTGATTGGCAATCGGCAATAGCTATAGCTAAAAATAAGAATTACAATGAAAAAATTAGACATATACAATTGAGACATAATTTAGTGAAGCAGCTGCTAAAGAATGGAACAATTTCCATTGACTATGTGAAGTCAGAACGGAATCTAGCAGATCCTCTGACAAAACCCTTAGTGAGAAATATGATTTTAGAAACATCGAGGGGAATAAGACTTAAGTCACTTGCAAAAAA